TGTAGTATATATATATATATATATAAACCAAAAGGTATTTAATGTAGATTTTATTGATCTTTGACATAAGCACTAGACTGGAGAAGTTAATTTACAGGTTACAGCTCGAGGACAGTGATACACACAAACTTATCCTCATTAATTACAGATTTTTTTTGGGTGCATTACAGATTCCCTTAAATTATTTCTTTATTATTATTTATATATATATAAAATAAAAAAAACAAAGCACTATATATAGAGTTTGCAGCTTTAGGCCAAAGCCCTACTGATTCATGTGACCTCTCTTCTAAAACAAAAGAGAAGCCTGGCTGACTTTGTGATTAAAGAAAGGGTTGAAAGGCAAAGGCAATAAGAGTCAGCAAGGTAGATGATAGGTGAAAAAGCCAACTCCATTCAAGTCTTTTGATATAAATATATATTCACATGTTCATTAGACACCTGTAGGGGGCAAAAATAAAGACATTGAAGGAGCCATAGAGAGAGAGAGAGATTGAGAGTTTAACCAACACAACAGATATCAGAGAGGGAGAGATAGGTAGCCTGAGGTTGAAGGAGGAGAAGAAGCTAAAGGTAGCCATGGGGAGGCCACCATGCTGTGACAAGCCTGGGATTAAGAAAGGACCATGGACTCCTGAAGAAGACCTCATACTTGTGTCTTACATTCAGGAGCATGGCCCTGGAAACTGGAGATCTGTTCCTATTAACACAGGTTTAATCAAAATTTCATCTTTTTTTGTTTCACTTTATCCCTTTATGTTAATCACGGTTTCATCTGTTCAAAATTTTTTTTTTTTTCAGTTTTTCATCTTCTTGTAGACATGACAGCTGCTTCAAATCTAATTGCAGGGCTTCTGAGGTGCAGTAAAAGTTGCAGACTTAGGTGGACTAATTATCTTAGGCCGGGAATCAAGCGTGGAAGCTTCACTCCACATGAAGAAGGAATTATAATCCATCTCCAAGCCATGCTTGGCAACAAGTATAACTAGTTAAATCCTATCTTCAAATTTCAAGTTTTTATATGTTAGAAAGTTTCTTATACAAGAGTTTTATTTGTGTTTTGCATTTTAGTTTCATATCTTGTCACTGCAGGTGGGCTGCCATAGCTTCCTATCTTCCTCAAAGAACAGACAATGACATCAAAAATTACTGGAACACACACCTTAAGAAAAAGCTTATAAAGCTGCAAGAAACATTAGGATCTCATAATCCTCTCGCCATTGAAGCAGCAGCAGTAAACACAGAGTTCACCGGAGTTCAGCTACAGCAACAGCATCCTTTCTCTTCATCCACCTATGCTTCCAGCACAGATAACATCTCAAGGCTGCTTGAAGGGTGGATGAGATCATCAGAGAAGAACAGCATGCAATCTTCTGCAATTGACATAAAGAACAGTAGTGATGGTTTGATATGTCATGAAGAGTTCTGCGATGTGAAGTTCCCGGAGATGATGCCGGCGACTGCCGAGGCGGTGGTGGAGGTGGAGCATAATCGATCACTGACTTTCTTGGAGAAGTGGTTGTTTGATGATGGTACAGGGCAGGTTGATGGATTCATGGAGCTGCCCTCAGATCAACTTATTTGAATGGCTTGTGTTGGTGATGGGGAGGTATATCAAATATTATGGATCTATATATCTACAAATTTCTAGGAGATAGTTTGAGATCAGATGCCAAAGTGTAACATAAAGAAATGCTGGTCTTATATTATATTAAACTGGAATAATATTGGTATGAATGTTTAGTTTGGTATTGTTTTTGGTGATTATCATCTTTTAAGTAAGTTTCATTTGTATGAGAAATATGTTTGGCTTCTTTATAATTTTAAGATTAAGTAGATGGAATTATAGAGTGAGTGTGTCTGCCTAGCAATGTTAAGACTTTGAGATGGTAAAATTTAGTTGTTATTTTTTCAAACATATTGGAATTTATAATTACATTGAGTGTGTATGTAATAGTAATAGTAATATAGTTAGCATTAATTAAGTTTAATTAATCCTGGTGACATAATCAACACAAATTTTAATATAATATACTTCTCTAGTTTATATAATATAATTAAAGATAATTCATTTTCAAGTGGTTAAAGCTTTATATGTGTTTACATTTAGTGTGCCTTGTCACTTTAATGTTAATACTCTACATAAATGCACATGAAATAAAATCAAACAACAACTTGTACCTTCTCATTTTGTATATGTATTTTTGACACAAGACCTTGTAAATATTAAGAAATTCAATATATATGTGTGTGTGTGTGTGTAGAAACACACACACACACACATACATGATACATCCCAATTTTATCATTATAAATTTCATGACTATTTATATGTAGTATTCACGGTATCATTTTAAATATTTTGTTAATATATTTGAAATTTTATTTGTGTTTATATGTCCACTAAAATGCATAAAATAAAGTACCATAAGAAATATCTGATGAAAAATTATCATGCTTATATCAACATAATGAGAATGATTAACTTAATGACAAATCAAAAAGCTATATGATAAAAACATACAAAAATTTCAGGATCTGACTAATTTGTATGAAGTCCAATCAAAGAAAATGACATAATTTACATGAGAGTAATAAAATTAAAATATGATTTAATATAACAATAATTTAGATTGAGCTAGACAATTTTTCCGACCGACCTTATGGATAAAATAGGCTATAAGAGCTCCAAACATAAACATCAACTCACTCAGTCCTCTCTCTCTCTCTCTCTGTGTGTGTGTCTCTCTCTCTGTTCTCTCTCTGCCATTGGGGAAAAAATAGATAAGAAAATAAATATATGGATATTTTAATAAATAATTAACATAATATTATAGTATTAGTTTAAAAATAATAATTACTTTTAGCACAATTTGAAATAAATCTTCTTATATCTCAAAATCTTATAGGTGTATAGAATTATAAAAAATTTAACAATACAAATAGTATATCATGTGTATGACAGACTATAAAAAAATCTTACAAAAATAAACACTAAATAGTTTTAAGAAAGATCAATTTTATAAAGCCGTGTTAATTTTCTTAAGAAAACAAATCAAATAAAAAATCCTTTAGATATAATAAGGTTGTCTTGTAAATCAAGAGTAAAATAAATCTAAAAATTTAATTGGATGCACTGAAATTGATTTCAATATATCATAATTTAGTAGATTGCACCTAATTCTCCCCAAACTAAAATTATAAAAAAATTGATTAATAAACTATCTATAAAGCTAACTATAGAATTTCATAAGAAATAAAATAAATTATTAAATATAAAAGTCATATGATATCCAAATTATGTCATCATAGGTTAATTTAGTTATCTTAGTAATTGTTGTTAAAAGTTTGGTTTTGTCGTATATACACCTTGCATAGGTCTCATGATTAGAAAAAGGGGAGATTAATCAATGTTTTTTACTATAAATAGATATTGTGTGGTCATGATTTATGTGTGGGTTCACATTAGTAAGACAATAAGAAAAGATGATAGCACAATGAATAGAGGCAGAATAATAGAGGCGAATCATGCTCTCAATATTTAGGGATATGCCCTTATACTATAATGATATTCTTTATTATAGAAAGATTGGTTGCTTTGTTTTCATTTTTTTTTTCTCTCTTTTTTCAGGAGTCGGTAGCTATCATTGTATAATTCCCTTTTAAGTTGAAAACTTTCATGGAGTAAACTTCGCGTGATAGCCTAAAACAGTACGTCTGAAATAAGATCAGATAAAAAATGCTTTGGAACATATCCACGATGAAAATCCTACGAAAGCAATCAATAATCAAAGATTTAAGTGTGTGATAGCATCTCTCAAAGGGACATAAACCTTTGGTTAATTGCATTTTAGGGGTGCCCAAGAATACTCTCCTTACAAGAAATAATGCTTACACTTGTATAACGACTAGCAGAGGGTGTCAAAAAGGAAGGTTATATCACAGGAGCAACTTGAAGTCTTCAAAGCTCCCGCCGATTCATAAAAGCAGAGAACGAGTCTCTCACGATCCCATACAGATGGCGGCTTATCGGTGATCGGGGCCTATGAAATAACCCATTCTTCTATAGGGTCCACACAATACTTCCAAGGCCAAACTGTGCCATAAGGGTAGAGGGTGAGTCATTGTATCACAAATGAGTGATGGTTTATCCGCAATGAGGGCCTATGCGAAGACATCAACGAAGCTTCAAAGGGAGCGACATGGTTTAAAGGGGGTAAACAAAGGAATGGTAGATTAGTCTTAATTGGGTAGAGATAACCAGTCATTTATTAGGGGATTTGTCGTCAACGGTCTCCCAAACCATGATGTGGGTATGACGTTCTAAACCCTAATTTTTTTTGCAATGCACGTAGGAAAGTTCTGTGACTTCCCTTGACTATGGGTGGCTTCAAATGGGTTTAGAGTGATCTCTAATCACCAAAATTGACTCTGAACTTATCTCAGGTTCTGAATGAATCTGCTTAATAGTGGATTGTCCTGAGCAAGGTCGAATTATTGTGAATTCTAGTTTTGTGCCCCAAATACGTGCCAGGAATTTTCAGATGGTTGTCTTGAACTTTACCATCCTGAGCGGTTTTGGTGGACACCCTACACGCGTTACATAAAAAAATGATGCCAACAAACACATCTCTAATTTTGGAGTACACTTACGTAAATATTGCATTCCTTCGTGGGAATTGTAAGAGGAGATCGATATGTCGCAGTCGCTTGATATTTGAGCCTCAAAAGACTTGTTTTTCATATTAGACACCATGATAGTGGTATATGAAGTTTGATCAGTTCATGATGGGATATGAGTGTCAGGAGCCAATACAATTATTATGGATATTTAAAAAGTTGACCAATTATGAGTTCACCTCTCTACTTCTAGATGTTGATGACATGTAGATTGTATTATCTGTCAGACTAAGGTTGATAAGATGAAAAAATAATCTGATATGACAATTGATAAGATTTGACTTTCATAAAGAACATATGTTCGAAAGATTTAAAGAATTTTGGGGTTGATAACTCAAGCAAGACAACAAGTCTATCCATTGTATCTCATTTTCAGTTGAGCTTAGATTAGTTTCCTAAAGATGATCCAGAGAGGAAAGAGATGCGATTGATTCCTTACATTATTGTAGTGGACAGTCTGAAATATGTCTTGATTTGCACAAAACTAGAAATTGCACAAGCGGTTATTATTGTGAGTAGGTTCATGCGTGACCAGGGAATGAGTTTTTAGCAGGTTTGTGAATAGTATTGTGAGGTATCAAAATGATACAATTGATATTGGCTAGGTGTTCGAAAGACAATCATCTATTAATGAATTTTGTGTAGACTATACCGATTCAGACTTCGTAGGTGATATGAAAAGACACAAGTCTATGACTAGCAATTATTCACATTAGAAGAAGGTTCGGTTAGTTGAAGATTAATTTTCAGTCCACTATTTTTTTGTTTACTCTAAAAGGTGAGTATAATACAATCATGGAGGCAATAAGGAAAGCAATATGGATGCAAAGTTTACTGGATGACTTTGGAGTTGATTAAAAGCCTTTGATGATATTCTGTGATAATCAGTGCATGATTTTCTTGACTACAAATCCAGCTCATCATACTTGTATCAAGCACATTGATGCGAGGTACCACTTTATTCAAGACTTGATTGATGATGATAATATTCTATTGAAGAAGATAGAAATGAAGAAGAGTCAAATATATATACTCAAAAAGGTATTACCAGCTCTAAATTTCAAATAATATAGAAATTTGAGGAATATTAGAGCTCATAATTGATTGCAAATTCAGAAGGAAGGTGCGTAGGCAACTATCTTTATGCAGTCATTAAGGTGTTAAAACTCATTTTAGTAATCTCCCACTTATCTGAAAGTGAGAGATGATGTGAAGATTGTTATGTAGAATATTAAATATAATAGTTATAAATTAGGAAGTGTGTATATTATAAAGAATAATATTAAATAAACTATTTTAAGGAGTTCTAATTATATGATATTTTCTATATTATGAAACCTAATTAGAGGAGATATGATTATATTATATTTCCTATATTTAAAATATTTCTAATTTGTAAGATATAATCATCCCTCATTTTTAAGAGGGATTATGAAGGATTTGGGGTGTGTGCTGAATTGTAATTTTAATTGGATGGATTTTTTCTTTATCCTCACCTATTAGTAGTGGAATAATCTCTCCTTGTCAATGTTACAGTGTGTTTGGTTGTTTCTTTATTGTGTGAATTTATTTTCTGTATTATTTTGTAGAATAATATTTAAATTATAAGAGAAGAAGATAACATAATATAATACAAGCGAGAATATGAAAGATAACGGCACAGGACTTGTAAAGCGAGTGTATTTATATTCCTCTATTCATATTCGTTACAGCGACTCTCAGTACTTCAGAGATAGTAGTTCTGACTTTCTTCTACTAAAATATGTAAGCGTTTCAAAGCTTTTCTTCTAAAGTTGGAGAGCAAGGAATACGACAAGATGCATCTTTTAATCATCAATAGATAGATTTAATAACCAAGATTTTTCAAGAGCCATAGTGAACTCCTTCTTTCTTTTGATGATTACAGAAGAATGATCTGCATTTTTTATGATTTGGAGCTCTGCTTTAGGAACTCTAAGCTTGATGTTATAGCTGCATTCCAATGGAACCGTCTGGTCTTTGTCGCCATGAATCATCTTCATAAAAATACCTTCTTCTTGTATAGTTCTCAAGTAATTATCCATGAATTTAGCCCCCCGGCATAACACCTCATGCATTGTATGCCAGCCAGAACGGTGAGTGTGCCTTGTTATATCCCTGATTTGGAATGCCAGATGCCTGCTTACAACAATATTCAAATGTAATTTGAAGATATTTTATTAATTAAGAAAATTTACAAAATTGCAAAAAAAAAAAAAAATCCCTTCTTACTTTTTCCCTGTTAGTAGTTTAATTATCCATTCCCATATCAAATGATTTCTGCAAATGATGAAGCAAATAGTTCTTCCCAAGTGTTCATACCAAGACATAACTGAAGAGAAGAATGCTGAAGGAGGCCAAATTTTCCTTTCAGCCAGTCTATTCAGAGCATTGTGGCTAGCTTCAGCTTCAATTGAAGGAAAGTATGGCTAAAAACAAAATCAAAATCATAAGAAAATATATATCAGTATATGCTTATAATCGAGTGAGATTTAAATATGTTGCTGATATCACTTTTACTATAATCTTCTAATAATTATCATTAAATCTCATAAATTTATCAGAATTACTTACAGGAGCAATAAGAGTAATGGACTTCACAGAGTTGGGATACTTGGCAGCTAATGCAAGTGCAAGGATGCAGCCCATGGAATGTGAAACTAAGTGAAAACTAGTCAATCCAAACTGTTTAATTACTGTTCTCTCTATCTTCTCCAAGTGGTCTTCGATTCTATACAAACAATTCTCTGGTTTTGGACTTTTACCAAAGCCAAGAAGATCCACAGCGAACATTTTAACTCTCTGAACTGCATCGTCTGATAAATTTGGAAATACAGTCTCCACCCAAATAGACGAAGATGATAGAAATCCGTGCAAGAAAATCACATTCTCCGTTTGAAAGCTACCATCTTGGCTCGTTTCTGCTGAAATTCCGAAAGAAGTTATATTCATGAATTAAAATGATCCAAAAGGATCAATTTTTTAAAGAAAAAAGACATTTTTGATCCTGAATCTACGCAAAAATCACCTCGTTTTGGTTCTTTGATAACCAAATGAAGAGTCTCCTTCTCCTTCTCCGGCGAATTTTGCCATGAAACACAGCTCTCACAGCTACAATCTGACCACCGAGGAGATCTCCTTCCACCTTTCTTCTTCCCCTCCTTTTCCTCATCATCTCCTAATCCCTTCTCTGAAACGAAGCCCAATATCTGATCTCTAAATATGTTTCTCCTTTCATACAAAGTCTCAGAAATCTTATGCCCTGCTTCTTCTCCACCGCTCCTGCAATGACAAGGAATCGGATTCGCTTCGAGAACTGAATCCAGAAAGCGGTAGAAGATACAGAGAGCACAGTCCAACAGATCAAGCACGGCGAAAATGGCGGAGCTAAGAAAGCAAATTATGGCTTTCGTTGCCCCCCTCATCTTCATCGATGGATAGATAATGAAGTTGCCGTTTTGAGCTTGCTTGCCTCCAGGCCACATATAAATAGGCTTTAATTTTCAAAATGAAAATATTACAGGAGTATTTACGTACATAGAACCTAATCCCTAATATATTTCACATCTAATACTCAAAACTTCAATATTATATATATATATATATATATATAT